ACAATGACGGAGGCATTTAGTTCAACTCTTACACTTTATACAAAGCGACTTACAAGAAGGGGAGGGGCCACTAGGTGTAGGTAGTTCCTCTGGGAATCGTACCCAAGACTCTCTGCTCTTTGCTTGCAAGGCAGGCATGTTAACCACTGAACTATGAAACCATTTTGTTACTTACATGCAAATAAGTATGGGTCTTTACCCCGGACGGAACCAAGCTGGGTTTTTTTTCACACACTTGTTTAACTGCCCTCTTCTTATTGGCCGGTTCCAGTGCCTTTACCCATAAATGGTACCGAGCCGCTGCAAGCTTCACCCTCCCCTATGTGTTATTGTTTTGAGATGAAAGTGAAATATATTTATGAACTACAGCGGGCAGCTTTAATAGCTTAATGGCAGATTGTGGATTCGAACCTGAAACCCTCCAGACCCAAAGCTGCTTCCTTGACCACCGAGCCACCCCTACGTTTCCAGCTTTTGTTATAAAGTTATAAAACATCAGATTATTGTTGATCGGACCAGATCTCTGACAAAGACAATTCTGCATGTTACATCCAACCTTTAAAAAAAAATTTTTTTTTGGAACCCACTTCACAAGCTGCTCCATGTTCAGCTCAGAACGTCCTTTGAGTCTTTCGGCCAACACTCCAAGACCTTTTCTGTATAAACTTCGATTGCCTGGCAGACTGAATCCAGACCTGGGAAAAAGAAAATCGGATTATTATTGTACAAATCTGCGAGGAAAAAAAAAAGCTAAAAGAATCAACAAGATGAACGGTATTTCTTCTAAAAGTGCTGGTCCTTCTCACCAACTGAAGGTGGTGTTGAGGACCTGCAGGAGCAGCTGGTAACAGGACGTCATCAGATGTTGCTCCTGAACGTCTGTGGCCGGTCCATCCACAACGCCGTCGTTTCTGGACGACAGTGTCTGTGGAAACACAGGGACAGGAGGGTGAGTCCTAACCTTTGACTGAACATCCTAAAGTCTGGGTGTCACTCAGGTTGATAAATAATCAAAATCTCAGAGACTATCACAGACACAGACATTTTCATCAGAGAAGTAAGTTTGAAATTTTAGGGAAATGAGTCCAAGTTGTGAATTTAAATCTCTTTCTCTCTGTGTGTGTGAACGTTGGGTATCTGACCTGGAAATGGTTGTGACAGTTCTCCAGGTGTGCACACAGGGCAGGTAGGAGCTGGACACAGAAGGCTGCGATGTCCTTGGAGCTTCTCTGTTGTAGATGAGAGAAGCCCACGCTTTTATCAGACTTTCCCTGAAACACAAAAAGATTTCACTCAGCGTCAGAGGTGCAGTAAAAGTTCCAGTTCCCTTCATGCTTTGCTGACATTTCAAATGATACATTTTTGCGATTCGTACCTTAAGGAACGGAGCTCTTCTGACCGGGGCAGAGGTGAGGCTGAACTCTAGTTTTCGAAGCATGTCCTCAAGAAGAAAGACCAGCTCAGCAGGGCCCAGCTGCACCTCCTCTTGAACCTCAGACATTCAAAATGATTGGAGAAGACTTTAGATTACACATGCATGGCTGCAGCAGCGGTAAAGTCACTAATGTACAGTACGATACAGTAATTTTAATACTCTTAATTATTCTTGGTTTTATTTGTCATTTTAGAAAATCAATTTTCTTCAAGTATTTATAAAAAAATATTTTCATTCTTCTCTTACATTGGTGTGCAGCTCAGAGTCCAGCAGTGAGCAGCTGAGCAGGCCACACTGCAGCACATTCAGCACCTCCACATCCAGCTCCCTGAAGAACTGTCTGTATGAAACCAGACTCACTCCATGTGCAACCTCCTTCTCTTTTTCCTTCTCCTTCTCCGGCAGCTCCTTGAGCACAAGCACAAGAGTCATTTGCTTTGGTCAGGTTGAAAAAAAAAATGGTACAAATCTCAGAGAAAGCCCAGGTTTTACCAGCAGAGTTTCATCGACCTCTGTTGTTTCTTCCAGCTGAGAGCTGCCGTCGGAGGAATTCCTGCCTGGAGCTTTCCTCTTCCTCGTCGCACCATTCCCTAAACAAACATCTCATTAATATTTTCTGACCTCATAAAGACCAAACTGGTGTCTTTTGTGGAGTGCCGTTACCTTTTTTTGTCTTATTTGCAGGAGCAGGTGGGGCGATTATTGCCCCGTCTGTGGCATCTCCATCAAAGTTAGCGACAGGTGGAACAAACCCGGGGGTCCCTGAAAGACATGTGGAGTAAAGAGGGGTTTTAGCCAAAAATGTCACGAATGAAGAATGACCTTGGACTTCATCTTCATCAGTGGTCACCACAGTGTTGGTCTACACAGTAGTCTAGTTTTATTTTTAAAACGTACCCCGGGGGCATCTTACAGGGGAGTTACCAGGTGACCCCTGCTCTGTATAACACGTTAACTTTATAATAAGTTTAAAAAGTATCTGTTCATGAAGACCTAACGGCGGTGTTTTTGAGCGATTCACTCACCAGCCAAGGCTTTTTCCAATTGCGTCTGAAGGTAAGTGATGTTCTGCAGACGGGTCATCACTCTCATCTTCAGCTCCGTGTCTTTTTGCCCACAAAATGCATTCACCAGCTTCGAGAAAAACACAGCATGACTCCAGTCACATGAAACTGTCCAAGTCACTCAATAATCACTGTTAATTTTACAGAATTATTTATTTTTATTCTGCCTGAACCACTGTCCACGGAAGGCGTTTCAGAAATCACATGTAGTTACCTCTCTGAACCAGTTGATGGTGTAGAAGAGTAAGTGACAGAGTAACTCCCTCTCAGTTTTTGACAGACTCTCCACTTTCTCCACCAGGTCCATGTCGGTCATGACCAGAGGGCAGCCTGTGGTGCAAACGCACACACAAACAGGAATTATTTAACAGCTGCGGCACCAAAAGCACAACATGTTGTTGTTGTTGTTGTTGTTGTTTTTCTCCTCACCAAGTAAACCGTCAATGTTTTCCAGGCTTCCAGATTCCTGCTTTTCACACACTCTCAGGAGGCGGAAAGAAGGAGACAAACACAGAGGAGACACTCTCCTGCAAGGACAAAAATGAGTGGACAATATAATTAGATGTTGTTGTTTGATTCTGTAAAAAGTGAAACATAATTAAAATTAACACAGCAGAATTGACCTCTGTGCCTTTTTGGTCGGACCCTGCTGCTCCGCTCTGGTCTGAAGGTCGTTACTCAGTAAAGGCAACAGGTTGATGGCGATGCCGTTTTCTTCCAGGTCTTCCAGGTTGTACAGCAATTTTGTCGGCAGAGGGAACGAACTGAGGTGCAGGACAAGACAGGGATTAATCACATAAGAACTCAAATGTCAAGTCCAATAAGGATCTGTGTTTTTCCCTCTGTACTAACGCCTTGATTTCAGGGGAAACGTCCACCACGAAGTCCTTCTGAAAGTCGTCGATGACGCTGTTTGAAATGATTCCCTGTTGGACAGAAGAAGTTTTATTTTTATGAGTCCAAGAACTGGACTACAGTCCAGAGAACAGAAAAAACAATGTGCCAAACATAAGGGACCCACCTGAACCTTTGGGTCCAGGTCAGAGGTCATGACCAGATTGGCCAGTTCGTCATAGAACAGAGCTGTAGCCTCAGACGAGCTCTCGCTGCTCGACCTCACCAGCTCCAACAGAGCATTCACCTGAGCAGAGAACATTTTCTAACTGAAAAACTTGGAGAGAATGGAAGAATATTTGGTAAAAGTACAGAGTTTGTATGGAAAAATATATAGATATTTTATAATATGTATGAGATAACTTCATTTTGTTATTTTGTATTGTCAATTAATTTAATATTTATCTATAAATATATATAAATACACAAACATATATATATATTTATATATAAAATATATATACATTTATTTATTAATAATTTATGTATATATATTTTAATATATACACATGTTAATATATATATATGTGTCTATATATAAATATTATTCATTATTAATAGTAATGTGTTAATTTATTAAACTAGTGCTCGTACCTGTCTCAGTGTCTCCTCAGGCAACGACTCCTTCTGTGCTTCCTTGGATTTGGACCTGATTTTTTAGAGACAATGATCAGGACACAGAGGAAAAACTAGCAAAAAAACAACAAAAAACCGTAACATGAACACCTGCGGTGACAGAAGTCTGACCTGGAGGCGGCCATGCTGCCGATAATCCTGACGGCTCCTCTGATGG